TAAGAAATTAAGCCTCAAAAGTATATATAAAACCCTGAAGGCTAGAAAAGTTTTCAGTAACCATGTAGGGTTTTTCAGTATTTAACTCAGTTGAATGAGAAGTGACTACATTTATTAAAACTCACTAAAATGAGGTGGTCAGCAACAACTAAGCTTACAAATAGCTTTAGCACAGGGTAACAAAACAATCTAACATGCTTAATAGAAACAAGAAGAGGTTTAAGTACAATAATCCTACAGCACTGGTTTTAATACCATGCAAGTTAAATGAGGTCACTTTTAACCTCAGCATAGTATAGAAGTTATGTCTCAGCAAAAGTGGTTTACTTTGTGTGTTTAGGCCCAGTAACATAATAGCCTTGAGCCAGTGGTAAAAATCTACTTTGCAGGAGCCAACAATGCGTATCAACAACAATCAGCTGCTGTTAGGAAGAGAGTGATTGTAACAAATATTTTTTAAGTGCTTCTATAGTAGGTTCTCCTCAGCCTTCAGGAACAGCAGTTTCCTAGACCATACTTTTGTTTCAACTTCTTCCCAGTACCTAAAAGAGTTTGACAGAGGTGTTCAACACATTGGTGACGTGTAAGGGGTGCATGCGGGTGGATGTGTACCCCCTGAGGTCGGCCATGCACCCCCTTGAAGCACCAGTCACAAAACCCTCCCCCTGTTGGTGATTGGCTGCTGGGGGACCCCCGCCCCCCACCACCACATAAGCAATCTGAGGACCCCCCAGACTCGGGAGGCACCAGTTGCCCATACTTCAACATGTGGCCTGCAAGCCAGATCCAGCCTATCATATCATGTGGCCTGCAGGACTTCTCATAGGTCCAAAAATTTTGCAACAGGGGAGCAATGGCACCACTCCCCTGCTGTCAATTTTTCAGACCCATGGAGAGCCCCACAGGACAGACAACATGGCCCTGTGTGCTGTATCAGGCACAGGACCCAATACTGGCACACAGGGTCAGGTGCAAGTGGCACGAGGCCCGATCCCAGCACACATGGGTAGCATGCTGCCCCAGAGTCTAATCCCAGTGTGTGGGGGCAGTATGGGGTTCCAGGGCCCAATGCCAGTGCGTGGGAACTGGGAGGAGGTGACATGAAGCCCTGGGGCCTAATATACGGATACAGGGGCCAGTCAAGGCTGCATAGGGTGCAATCTGTCTATGCAGACTGGTCAAAGTCAGCATGAGGCCCAATCCTAGCATGGGGGTTTGCCCACAAACCAGCCCCACGCCCCTCATCTGGGCCCTGGGGCCAAAAGGTCAAACACCACTGGTTTAAGATGCTGCACATCATGAAGATGGCAGAGGTCGTTCTGGATGGTGGTACCAGTACTTCAGGGTATTAGATGTTGTTATTCCTAATAGCTCATTGCTTCATGCAACTTCTATTTTAGTCAAGGAGATTTTTTCACTAACTTCAGCACTAGACAGAATGAGCCACAAGTGCATTTTTTAAAAGCTCTATGAACAACTATTACTGGATAGATTTTTTAAATGCCTTTTTTATCTTTTTTTAAACACTGCCTGTTCCCGCCCCCCTTTTTCCTTGTTGCCAACTTTTATTGTAACTCTTTTCCTTCAGCTGATTGTGAAACACTTAACTACCCACTCTATGGGCACACTACCATAGGTGTCTACAAAATGTTTGCAGATGGTTGATTAAAATCAGGTGCACAATAGGGACCAAAATATTCAAACCCCTGTACCTAAACCCAAGTCTTAAAAGGCACAATACTACTGAACTACTGAGCTCTGACTATGCTACTTATGTCAGCTGAGGATCCTGGACAACTATGTACTACAGGTATCTGGAATTTCTGAAGATCTCACAGCTTTCATTCAGGTTTCTAAGCATAGTCTGGAGACTCAAAGTTAGATACTGTAGTTTGAAAACTGTGGCTTTATCTTTACAGTTCTAATTAAGCAGTTTAATTAAAAATAATTATTGTAATTATCCGGCTTGTTACGGAATAGCAGAGTACACCAAAATGGAAGTTAAAAAGCTTGGATTCAGCAAAAGAAAAATACCTTGATTTTCTCTCTTCTTGCTGGACATTTCCCAAGGGGAAAAAAAACAAGAGAAAGCAAGAAAACAACTGTAGAAGATTCATATGCATCATACTACACTGCCATTCCATCCTGCCTTCTAAAAGGTCCTGATAACTGCTGCTAGTGTCATTTAATAGCTAAGATTAGGTAAAAGAAAAAATCCATGGAGAGAACACATACAGCACAGCAGTAATATAATACAGCAGCAAGTTCTTATTTGCTGCCTACACACTGTAAACTTGTGAGTAACTTTATATATGTGAAGCACCCAACACTCAACTCAGAGAAACAGAGCCAAAAAAAGCCACCACATCCAGTAGTCTGGACAAATAACAACTTCCACCTGAAAAGTGTTGGGTTTTGGTTGGTTTGGTAACTTTTAGTCTTCCTGAAGCAATAAACCAATTCCTGAGAAGAAATGAATGGAAGAGACATAGGAAGAGAAAAAGGCATACATAAATAACCTTTTCTATATCTTTAATTCAAACACTGGCAACCAAAAATACCACCTTTTGATGCAACTACTAAAACAGGGAGACGGTAAAAAAAATTAAAAAACAGGATGCCACCCCCTTGTCACAAGCATTCATGAAAGAGAGTAGTATTTCATTTTAAATTAACATGCAATGCACACAGCATTTTGTTTGAATTGCAGCTCCTGGCTGGTACCCTAACAAATTGCTGTGCAAAAGTTTTCCTTTTTGGGGTTTAACAAGCAAAATAATATGCCTCATAAGTCTTTGTTAAGATAGTCCTAAAGTTGTTTTCCCCTCCTGTTTCCAAAGCACAGTAGTGAAGCTTTCACAGTAAGAAGCCAGATAAAGCAGCTGCAGTGCTATCTGTGGAAACAGGCCTGAGCTGACACAGCCGATAATGATCCAATCTTCTGTTAACTCTTAAGTTTGGGGGCTAAAAGCCCTGAATTGGGCCCAGCTTTACCTCTCAAAACCATACCTCAGGGAACAAAAAGAGGGGGCCTAAGGAAAGGGGACATTTCTAATGTTCACAGACTCTCTTGTCTAGCATTCTTTGGTTGTTGTTAGAAGAGGAAGGAGTGCTTAACAGAATGAGGTGATAAGAAATCAAAGGCTCTCATCAATCCTGCAAAGCTGCAAAAAATGTTCCTGTCAAAATTGCAAGCATGTAACCTCTCTGCCCAAGTCTAAATCCAAATCTTTTCATTTCTCCTTTTTCAAAACCCCACATTGTTTTTTGCAAGCACTGAAATACTATCCTTCATGTTCCCCCCTACCAAGGACAAGCAGCAGTGTTTTCTAACACAGAACTGTCAGCATACACTTATCACAGCAAACAAACAAACAAAGGATTACAAGCTTCTAATGAAGTCTTTGAGGCTTTACAGATCAAGCTTCCTAAACTGCTGTTCTCTGAACAAAAGACTCCTGTTAATCGTTGGATTTGTGCTTTAAAATTTTGATAGGTTTGCGGCACTGCTCAGATGCTGCTTTAGTGACACACTCTGTCTATAAATCTGTTGTTTAACTTTACAGAAGTATCTGTGTCATCCTCTTGACCCTATTTCAAGAAGCTACTTAAACACTTCCTTGTATCGCTTCCTATTGAGGAAATCACTTAAACATATGCTTTACTTCAAGCACGTGCTTAAGTTCTATTCACTCCAAAGGAATTTAAGTACATTACCTGAATAGGGCTGCTCTTCTGAGCTTGGGGATTAGAAGAAATAACTATAGAACTCTCTGCAGAACATAGAGAACTATACTAGAGAGAGGAATATCCTACATCAGGGCTGTCCAACTTCTGTACTGCCAAGGGCCGCACGTGGCACCAACATGCAGCCCCTGGGTTACACACCTTACAGCCCACAGGCTGCGGGCTTGGCCCCTGGGATCCTCCCCATCATGCAGGCAGCACCACTGACACGCAGCCTCCTGCCACACAGGCTGCCAGGGTGACAAGCAGCTCCCACCAGTGCATGGCAGGACTGATGGCACATGCCCCCTGTCTTCCAAGACCTTCCCTGCCATGCAGCAGTGGGAAAGGCAGTTGCAGGAGCCTGCAGGTGACATGTTGGTCCTTCCTGGCCCAGCATGTGGCTTCACAGTCAACCAGTTCAACAGCCTACATAATAAAGATACATAGTTAATGGCATTTTCCTGTTCTGAGCCCAGACTTCATATATGGTGGTTGGGCATTCTTCTCTCCAAAACAATCCATTTTCTCACTGAATGCACTCAGTCCTCTTCCAGTTTCATTTACTCATTTAGCAACTGTTCTCCTCCATCAACCAAATGCCAAGGCATTTGCTGTGCTTTTCCTGAAAGGATTTTTCACTGCATTTTATCTACTCCTTTAATAACACATTTATTCTTATTTCCTTAAACAGGGAATGCCAATTTTCCACTTTAACCTTATCCATCAATGTACAGCCTCCCATCTCCAAGTGGGTGATCCCAGGTCCAGCATGTTCCTTTGTCTAAAGGACAAGTGCCCTGTAGAATCGAACTAACTCAGAGTAAGTTTAGCTGAGGATTTATAAAAGTAAACTATTGAAATGAGTAGTTTTTAATTAAAATATGGAGAAAATCTCAACTACAAAATTGCTGGAGCAACACTATAATTATGCTGTCCTTCATGTTTTTCCATTAGCATTTTTATGTGACATAATAATAGGGGTCTGTCCCCACTTCCCTGCCACCTCTCAGAACTGTCAGATCCCTTTACAGAATTCAAATAAGTTCATAGAGAGTATCAAGTCCTTAAATAGAAAATTTAAATGATCACATTCACGTTTAAGACATGACAGGCATGTTGTAAATTCATAACATTTATGGTAATAGACTGCTGAAGTAAAAAAGTGAAGAACACCAATATTTCTGAGTCTGCTCTGGGCCCATGCTGGGAAGCCAATCTTCCTCATCAACATGTTATCATTCAAGACATGTATTTTAACAGTCCATCTAATTTGACAAGAAAGATGAATACCTAAAGGGGCCAAATACTGTTTTTATTGAAGCCAGCAAGACATTTCCTATGGACTCCAGGGATCTAGAAGGTACAGATCAACACTTTGCTCAGTAGCGGTTGATTTCTGGGTGATGAAAATATACTTGGGACTACCCCACTCATCAGACATTAACTTGCATCATCACTAATAGTATCAACATATAAAAGACAGAGTTAGCCACTGGAAAAGTTAACATTTTTGGAATGCCAAGAGTATTTATGGTGAGTGCAATTTCCTGTGCCACTCACCAGCATGCATTATTCATAGGGGGTTTTCTGGTTTCGCCGTTGCTTGAGAGAACAGCTCATTAGAGGGTTAGAATTCAGAAGGTCTTCAGGAGTTCTCTCCTGCCACGTCTTGAAGGAAAAATTAGTTTAATTGGGAGGAAGATGGTATGTCCTGCCTCCTGGTCCCTTCCTTCAATCTTTCCATCTGTCTTCCTGTTTGGAGCTCCGCCTGCCCTACACCCCACCTAACGCCAACCAAAGATGTTATTCTCTTGTTTCCTCAGTCCAGTCCGAAACAGGCTCTGATATCCTGGCCTTTGAATTATGTTAACTGGATTTGGACGTTGTCTCATCTGGTTCTTCACAAGCCATATGTGGTCTGGCCCAAACTCCTACCTGACCCTGAGTTACCTTGCTCCCCGGCAAATCTCCCCCTCTTTTGGGTCTGTACTTGCTGTGGTATAGACATTTATCACTCCTTCTCTCCTCAGGTTCCTGCTGGGTCCAATCCTGTCTGGAGATGTCTGGAGTCAACGGCGTCTTTTTGGGCGAGTCCTTCAGCCCTCTAGGGCTTGGCTTATCTTTATGTGCCCCTTTCCAGGGCAGCCACCACTTCCCTTGGTGGGGCTCGGTCCTGCTCCGGGCCCACTAGGGAATCTACTTCTGGCCCCCCGCACCTCTCTTCCATCGGGCTTTTTATCCCGGCTCCAAGGGACTGGCCAGTGAATCAGCGCCAGCGCAGCACCATAAAGCGTGCCCATGCCCGCGTGGGAGCCAGTCCTGGCTCCTCCCAGCTCCATGGTTCCTTTTTTTTTTTTCTCTTTGATGCGGCATCGTCTCCTTCCATAGTTTCATTTTCACCACGCTCCCAGCTCAGCATAGCATCCCACCGGCTCTGCTTGTCCCTCATCCAAGGTAAGTCTCTCCTCGTGGCTCTGTGCCTGCCACAGTAAGTTTTAAAATCAAGTTATCATGGCTTAAAATCACAAACTGGAAAAAAAAAATGACAGAAAGAGAAGATTTAGCCACCTTCTTTATTCTATTGATATTTGCTACAATAGAAATATGTTTAAGAAAAACACATTTTCTATCTGAACCAACAGTACAAATATAATGGTTTGGAAATTAGACATTTAAATGTTTTAAGTCTTTTTGTTTAGTATAACAATAGAACAAGTCTTGAAAAACATCTAACTTTAAAAGACTGCTGGATATTAGTTAAATTAAATGAATTTCTATGCTTTGGATTTTCCATGTTACTTGCAACACAGCACTCTGGCACATCAAGACCAGAAAGAAGTTTCAGAGATCAGGATATCTGGGGAAGCAGATACCTGGAAATAACAGAGATGGACGATAAAAGAGAGAAAGTGGTTCCAGCGTCTCATCTGGGAAAAACTATAAGCCACTTTTCTATTTCGGACCTAGGCCTGGGTTTGTAGTATAACATAGGCCTCTCTCAGCCAACCAGGACCTCTTGCCTCAAAATATACGACACCAAGTAGAGCAGCATTTCTCAACCCATGGGTCATGACCCAAAAGTGAGTCGCAAGAATATTTCAAAGAGTCATGAGCAAGTGAGGGGGAAAGGGCCAGGGGGGCTGCGCGGTCGGGCCGGGCCAGTCCTGTGCTTGCAGGGGTGGGGTAGCTGGGAGACGTTATACAGGGGCGAGGGGGGGCCGTGACCAGGCTGCCTGGCACCACACCGCAGCCCCAGCCCATGGCAGGGAGTGCCACAGGCCTCCTCTCCTCCTCTTTCCAGCCCATGCCAGGCAGACTAGGTCCGCTGCTGCCCGCATGAACTGGACCAGGCTGCCTGGCACCACACTGCAGCCCCAGCCCACGGCAGGGAGTGCCACAGGCCTCCTCTCCTCCTCTTTCCAGCCCATGCCAGGCAGACTAGGTCCGCTGCTGCCCGCATGAACTGGAGCCACCGCACTCCGGCCAGAGCAGGACGGAGCAGCTGGGACTGGGGGGGAGGGAACAGGGGCCTGCAGGTTGGGAGTTAGGGGCCCCAGCATTTGGCTGGCTCGTTTATCCATTACCATTGCTGCAAATGCAACAAAATAACTCATCATTTGGCATGTGGCTGAGCAGCTGCAGCTCTCTCCCTTTCTATTTGCATGTAACACCTGGATTCAAAGTTCCTGGATTCAGAGTTCCTGGGTTCCCTCGCCCTTCCTTTTCCTCCAACCCAACTCACTTTCTCGCTATGCTGGAAGCATACCCCCCTATCCACTCCCCCCTCACTAGGCCTGCTGAATTAGCTTTCAGCAATTCTGCTTGTGCAGAGCCAGCAAGACTCAAAACCCTGAGCAGACAAAGTTCAAATACTCCGTCCCCCAGCCCAGCCAGCTCCTCGTGCAAAGTTGCAGGAGCAGGGCTCCTGACACTACTTGGCCTGCTGGCTATGGCAAGAGCAGAGGGGTGGCAGATCCCTCTGCCAGCCACATGCTCGCTCTCCTCCGGCAGCATTCCCTGCACTCCCTCACTTTTCCTCCCCGATTGCACCATTTCCAGCTGCTGCTCCCACACACATCTGCACACCTCAACCAGCCTTGAAGTGGGGATCTTTAACCCTCCTCCCTTTTCACTGGCTACAGGGAAGGCATGGGCCACTGGGGATGGAGGAGGGGGTATCAGTCAGAGGCAGGGGGGAGAGGCGAGGGGGGTGATTGATGCGGGTGGCTCAGTTGGTCCCTGCCTCCGCTTGTGTCTCCTGGAGATGTGTGAAGTGGCCTGGGGGGGCCCAGACAGACCTGTCTGCTGCCTCAGTTGCCACAGCTACTTCACTCCCTCAGCCTCCAGCTGCATCCAGAGCAAAGAGTGATCGGCCTACTGCCCAGCAGTCCTGTGAATGTGAGCAGAGAGCAGTGGGGAGGGAGGGGAGATGCCCCTGGCATGAGAAAGGGTGTGGGGAAAGGGGGAGCCTTGTGCCCCTCACATCCGCTCCTGAGGGTGCCCAGACTGCTTTGCCAGGGACCTCTGCAAGGGAGACGTCTCTAAGATTTCGGAGCTCAGAGACTTTATGCACAATGACATACTCCATCATGCCACACCTGGGCCTAAAGAAGGAAGGGAGATTGGGGGAGCTCCCCTAATGCAGCAGCAAGCAGCTCTGAGTGGGGTGAGGGAGAGACTGGTGTGATGGGAAAGGAAAGCACTTTCAGCAGGGCAAGTGGCCCTGTGTCCCTGATCATCTTTCAGGGACTGTCCCTGTTGTTTTCCAACACACAGAAAACTGTTTTGTCCTCTTTTGGCACAAAATTTATTAGCCATTGCCTGAAAGCGCATCCACCTAAAGAAACTACAAAGGAAGTCAGGGAAGTTAGTAATGGATTAAGTGCAAATGCTCATCAAGGATTGTTTTCCATTGTATCTGTTAGAAATCTCCCTCCTTGGAGGTTTTTAAGGCCTGACTTGATAAAGTCCTGGCTGGAATGATCTAGCTGGGGATGGTCCTGCTTTCAGCAGGGGGTTGGACTAGATCAGCATTTCTCAACCCGTAGGTCGTGACCCAAAAGTGGGTTGCAAGAATATTTCAACGGGTCACAAGCAAGTGCCCAGAAAAACATGCAAAAGAGCAGGTTTCCTCTTGCAGGCTAGCAGCATTCCAGCCTACAAAGGGCTACTTGGGGCATGGCCAGCACGCAACCAGGCAGGGTCATGGGAGCAGCCCCAGCAGCGGGATGAAGGTAAGTGTCTGGGGAGCGGGGGTTGGAGGGCCAGGGCTTGGGGACTGTCAGGGTGGGGGGAGGGGAAGCAGAGAGTGTGTGCGTGCATGTGTGTGCATGTGTGGAGAAGATTGGGGGAGTGCGGGGTGGGGAGAGGTGCCTGCCGGAACTGGGGGAAGTTAACTGAGTGGCTGGGCACTAAGGCTGCAGTAGGGCAGAGGTTGAGGGGGACTGTGGGTCAGGCACTAGCAGGGCCAGGGGAGTGTTGGTCAGGACAAGCCATCAATTTTGGCAAATGGGTCCCGGAACGAAAAAGGTTTGAGAACCACTGGATTAGAGGACTGCTGTCTTATCCTACCTATGCTAGAAAGAATGAAAGTGAGGGCTTGACCTCACTGTTCAATTAACTCAAGTTATAAACTACAGAGTTAAAGGCAATACAAGTTCCACCGCTACCCAAAACCCTTAATTCATGCATAGTAATGCCTTTAACTTGAGTTAGCTGGCTCAGCTCAAGCTGCACTAACTTTCTTTTTTCATATTAAGTTACTTGGTATATATATGACATAATTCTTCTAAATGAAATGGCTAGTGTTTGTTAATTAGATAATCCACTATCAAAATGAATTAAGCTCATCTCTGAACAAGTTAGCACAGAAAAAGGTTCATGTGGACTCACTGTATTGATGGATTACCTTTTTCACTCCTGGCAGTCCTCCCAATGCTATTGCATACTTCACACCGGAAACATCCTGTTTCTTTACCTGCATCCACTCTACTGCTCTGGGGTTAGGTTGACCAGCTGTCTGCTCCCTGCTTGAAATGCCAGCAAGGTGATGAAAGGACTCCATTTGTGATCACAGTATGTGTTCCTGGAATTGCAGACCCTACTCCACACTCTACCAGCATTGTAGCAACCAAGCATCCTGGATCTACATGGGGCTGCACAGAGGTCATGGATTTCCTTGCTATCTAAAGAGAAAAACAGTTAAATACTGTTTTAAGAGCAGTCACTGTAATATGTAAATCTGTGAATTTGTAGCAAATCAAGTCAAGGATCTGTGATTCCTGCTCAAAGTCGCAAAGGAAAGGAGCTCCAAGGAAATAATTTTAAAGAGTCGCAGGAACAGAAATATGACCTCAGGACCTCCATGTACTCCTTCCCTCTACCCTCTGAGGAACTGGATCAGATTTTTGTCAAAGAAATCACCAGAAAACACAGAGTTGGAATTAGGGAAAATGGAGCCCTGGGTGAACTTGTATTTTGACACCATCCCTGCACCCCAACACCCCCCCCCCAAAGTTAACAGCACTGCAGCCCTGCCACAGAGGGGCTTTTCCAATGGGCTGGGGAGCTGGGCATGGCATCTGCCTGTGGCACGGACAGCCGGCTGCAGCCCCATGGCCTGCGAGCAGGAGCCTGCGATGAGTGGCCAGCAAGTGCTGGCATGGGGGCTCTGGTGTCCTGCAGCTTCCAGGGGGACCCTCCAGGGCCCAACACACAACCAGCCACATGTAGGTGAGATTCAGCCAGAGCCCTTCCCTGCTTCCTCCATGAGCTGCCAACCCCAGCCCAGGGCTCCTGCATGTGCCACCCAGCCCCGCCCCACCTCACCCCACCTGGGAGGAATGCTGGCGCTGTTATATGCTGCTTGCAGAGAGAGAGAGAGAGAGTGTGTGTATGTGTGTGATGCCCCCCTGACCACAGTACTGTGGGAAGTCACCCACGTCGCCCACCCCTAAGACTGGCGCTGAACAAACATCTGTATATTGTGAAAAGTGTCAAGTCACTAAAAGGCCATGGTCCCCAAGTTCAACTAGCACTCTGCTGAGGTGGAGATTTCCCCTAAAATCCACAATCATTCTTCTACCCACTCACCCCAGGGCAGACTCTGAAAAGCAGACAGCTCCTAAACCCCTGATAGAAAGCTGGCTTGATGATTCTGGGAAGGGGACTTCAACCAATAAGTAATTATGTGCTGTACTAAATAGCAGTGCAGGTAATTTTTTAAAAACTTTGTGTTCTGTGTGCCCAAAGGACCCCAACACTTTGGATAGGCCTGACCTAGGAATCCTACCCCACACTACATGCTCTAAATAGATCCTGTGCTGAGAAATGTTAGTTGTGAAGCAATTTTCATGATATTTTAATAACCCACAGTCTTTAACCAAGTTGGCATCCACATGTCAAGACCCCTTCCCAGTCACTTGCTCCATTTCACTACCCAGTACAGGCCTCCCATGCATCCTCACAGTACCATGAATTTGTTCAGTGGTTTTGAATAAAGAACCTCATAATTCAAGCATGCTTAATGAAACATCAGATACAGGAAAATAAGGCAATATAAAAGCACTTTGCTTCACAGTTTGAGCAAATCCCTAAGGTTTCAGCTATTTTATATTTTCCCCAAGATGAGACATCTAAAAATTCATAGATATATGATATTCAGCCAGCTGTATGCAGACTCTCACTTTGTTAACCCTTTTCATTCCAAACCAGTACTGGAGAATTTATTTTTGGTGCACTTGATTCATACCTGCAGATAAGTTGAAACAGAATTTAGGGGCAAAGATACTATATAATTTGGCATGAACATTACAAAGCAATGTGCCCTTCCTTGGGCTGCCCATGTAAGTAGCATTGCCCTTTCAGTTCTGTAGCATCTCTAAAGGGAAACATTTTGTTGAAGAACATCACTGCCTGTCTTGCCAGTTTCCCCATTGTCTCTTTCAACAAGCTCCTTCTCTGCCTTTTGGAGATTCATTCTAGGTTAACACCCCACAATTTAAAGTCTGGAAAGATGCACATTGAGTTACTAACCTACCCCAATCCCACCATCTCCAGCTACACAAATCCTGATGTGTGCCCACATGTTTTGCCACCACCATCCTCTTAGCTTATGAAAATAGACAGCCCACATGCCATGGCCCACTCATTCCCTCCTTCCCATCCACCACCTCTTCTGATCCATAAACCATGCTAAGAAGCCTGGGATCAGAATAGGTTTCCTATGCAAAGGGGAATGAAGGTGGAAAAGTATTATCATTTCTAATCTCATCCCAGACTGGGAAGAGACTATTGGGAATGCTATTTCAAAACTGAGGAGAAAAAATGAACAACAATTTTTGTAAAGGTTGGAATTCATAATATATTTGTTTTGTTTCTCAGTTCCCCCAGCTCGTTCACGTGATGCCCAATGGACAGGAATGTTATCAACTTCAGAACATCTGACAGATCTGTAGGGCAACAAAAGAACAACACACAACCAGCCTTTGTTGCCATGCAAGAAAAGAAATAAAATGACAGAGAAAAGGGAATTTCTTTTAGCAGAGAGAAGATCTTGCAAACAGAGTACAAGAATTGGAGGACAGTGTCATGACAAGAAACACTACTGGGGAAAAAAGACAGACGTGCAAGAACAGCTCCTGGATTTGTTGCAGCAGCAGACAGTCTTGCTAGTGAATGTGTTCCTGCAATGCTCTCACGACTCAGCATCATAAATCAGAGCCCAGCTATGTCCTGGAACCATGAAAACAATGCAGGAAGCTACAATATGCTTTCCAAAGTTCAAGTCACAGGTACTTCTCTCCCAATTCTACATCCCAGTACAATGAAAACAGTAAAGCTAGGACCACATTCTCAGCCCTTTGGCTGCAAATGACGATTTATTCATCATTTCACAACCCAAGGCAAGCAGTAATCTCACACTACAAATGTGTGGCAAGCACAGTACAAATGTGGGGGTATTCAGCACTTTTAGACAGATGTGCACCACAGACTTTGTGCAACATCACAATACTTTATCTTGTTCTTTATGACAATAACCTTCTACTTCTCTCAATCCATACAAGCAGAACAACAAAATCTCATCAGAATGCAGAACAAAATTATTCTTCAATTGTTCAGCTTCTGGCCTCGAAGTAGGAGCACAAGGCATTTTTGACACTGTGTCCCTGCCAATTTGCTGTTCGCAGAAACAGCCATTCTGACTGTATACAGTGTATTCAATGTCTCTGCACCTCTGTCTTACAGCCATCACTGATACTCTCTCCTTTGCTCCCTTAGGTGTTGTGCAAAATACAGCAAGTAGCTGTCACAATGTAGATATTGTTCTGCAAAGTCAAGCTCATTAGAAGCAATGCCATCTCACTTTTAGCCCTCCTAATGTACATAGTGTCATTCTGCAACTACTTGGGATACTGCTTTCTCTTCAGCTAGCAAAAATGAAGGCACACTGGAATGACAGGAGTTGTGTTGACACCATAAAAACCTATAGCACTGTCAGGAGTTAAGAGTTCCCTTTTTCATTAAAAAACAACAGATAAAAGTTTCAAAAGATCCAAGATCATAGCTTCCTCCAAATGACCTTACATCAATACTCATGGTAATCTGCCATAGTGATCATCAATAATCTCCTGGGCATTAACAAGCATTAGAACTTGTGGCACCAGCATCCTCTCTGGAACAACCTGTAGCCCCCTTGACAACATCCCTAACAGCTAAGCTCCCAGTCCAAACTGGTTGTAGGTGTACAGGGTGATGAACTTCACAATGGCATGGGACATGCACCTCTCCTTATTGAGGAGAGTGCTCATGCTGGCGAGTTGCTGTTTTAGCTCCAGGACAAACTGTGCAGACTCCTAGGAGAGCAGCATTTGTCATCTTAAAATTCTGCCACTGCTGTTTGGCATCCAGGACTGCATTATTCTTCCTTCTTGTGAGCCAGAGGCAGTTTTCTGATTCCTGAAACAGTGTTTCGCTGAGTGAGGCTGCTCCAGGAAAAGTTCATCCACATGCAAATGGTCAATTTCATCCTCCTCTGCCAAAATCAGCTTAGCAGCATGGGTTTAGCTTCTAAAGCCAATGCCACCCAGTAGCATGATCACAAATATATGTGCAGTAGCCTCTACTAAGCCCGCACAACTGCATTGTGTAAAAGAGTCCCTTCCATCCATGCTGGTTGGCAGCACTGTGAAAATGACACCATCTTACAAAAGGTAGATGAATCATGGGTTGCCAGGAAAGGAATGATGGAAATATGCTAATTGGACCCTAGGTCCTAGAATTCCAGTGGTTTCTGGTAGGTCTCTCACAATCTGTTGCAAGAAAAATCACAGAATTCAAGGACTCCAGCAGTGGAGTAACACACCTTGGAATGTATGTCCAACATGTTGACTGCACGCTGATTCAAAGGGAAGTAGGTAAAAAACAACTGAAAAGATGCAACTATATTGGAATGTCAGTTTGTTCAGAATGATACGATACGCATTATAGCAAGGTGAACATACACAGCCTTTGACATGACTCCAAAACAAGTGCTAAACTCATGCTCCTGGAGACTTTAACCATTCTGTCATTATGTCCCCATATTATTTCAGAATAGTTGTTCCATAGATGTCTGTGTTCAGAACCCTAATCTGGAAATCCTCCTCTATATAGACATCCTCTATTGAAAAAAAAAAAAAAGTAACTTGACTTGTTGCCAAAGCTTTTTAAGACTAGGTTAGACAAATACTAGTCCATGATAGTTTAAATAGAGATGAGCCTGGGGAGTATCCTTCAGCAGGGGGTTAGACTACATGACCTCCTGAGATGCCTTCCAGCCATATTTTTCTATGATTCTGAGATTTCAGTCTTCAGCAAGACATGTTATGAATCAGTGACCTCGCCAAATGATAGAGACACAGTAGGAAAACCACATACCCTCAGAGACTCTTGAGAAGGAATAGATTTTTGGTATAGAAATTTTTATTTGAAAAACTGTCTCATCAATCCAGCTGAAGTTGGCAGAAATAATTTAAAAGACCAAAGAAACGAGATTAGGGGCAGTCTAATCCAGTACTATAGAGATTTTGCATACAACCTCCAAAAGGCCCAAATTCTTCCCCAGAATGAACTCAGTTACCAATAAAATCCATGCTTGCAAGGGCCAAATTCGGCCCACATTGATCTTAAATAACTTATGCAATTC